CTGACGGAGGGCTGCTCGATCCTGCCCGTGAGAAGAGCAGAGAACGGAAGACAACGTTCTCCCCTCTTGAAAAGCCCCCGTCGAGGGATGTCAGCACCCCGGCGCAGCAAGCTCAAGGGTCGGTCAAACGCCGCCGACGAGCCACTACTAAAGGCAGTCGGCGCGGCCAGCCGCCCGAGGAGGTGCTTCCGAGAGCGGAAGCAGAAGAGTTGCTGAACCTTATCCAAGGTCACGTCGTACAGTTCCCTTACGACTGGCTGCTCACGGAAGAGCAAAACGGAAACTGGGGCTTCCAAGTTGACGGCGTTGCACCTCTACAAATTTAGTAAGTTTTCGTGGACTCTTACCCCAGAACTGTGATGCTGACGCACTGTGTAGTAACTAGTGGATGAAGCCTTTTTTGGTGCCCCTCTTTGGCTAGACGTTGCGGACTATTGGCTAGACGTGCCTTACCGACGACAGAAGCAAAACTCAGGGTCCGTTACAGACGATAGAAAAACAGACGACGGAAACGCCATTCAAGATGGAGATTCCAGGGAAACGTGTGCAAAAAACGGAGTCGGAGGGTGGACAATTGGCGTTTTGGTCTCGGTTACTTTTTTTTCTTTTACCGCTTTTCCCGGCTTTGGCCTTTTGTTCTTTTACATGTATTATACACATTCTTACACTACAGACTTTATACTCTTTCGCTGACCCAAATGGCCCCTCTGCAGCCCGCGCGAATGACGCCAGTCAGCAGCCAATGCGGCTCGGCCTTCTTGGCGTCATGTTCGACAGCATGGTCGAGGTGCTCAAGTTCTTCGTCTCTGATCCTCCGCAGCGTCTTGATGAGCTCCGAAAATTCGGGGCCAACTTCATACCCCTCCGCCTCCCACTCACTGACCATCTCTAACAGAGTTCGGATCTGGTTGTTGTAGTGGTCGCCAATCTCAGTCTCAACAGCTTCCGTGCAGGCCATGGCTGCCTCGCGACCCATCACAGCCGTACCCCAGCCCAGACCAGTAGCCATGACCTGCCACACGGGATACAGGGCAGTCGGGCGTATACGATGCTTGTGGATAAGAGAGTTGAAGGTCTTAAGATGCCCCTCCTCTTGGTCGTACATGTGCGCCATCAAGGGTCGGAGGTGAGGGTGTCGATTTACGAGTGGTGGGGTTTGGGCGGTGTAAATGAGCGTCGCTGCGAGTTCTCCAGCCTGGTTTACCCGGAGCTGTTTCGCATGTGTCAGTAATCGTTCTGAAGACAAATGAGAGACTCAATAACGCACAGCTGAGGACAGAAAGTCCTTCTGCTCCTGGGTCAAGGGCTTTCGACGCGTGCGATCTTGGCTAGTTGCTTCAGCCTGCGACCTGGGTGTCGTCGAAAGCTGTCGCTGCGAAATGCACAGAGCCGGCGCATGCGCATGGTGCGCTGTTCGCCTTGCTATGCCGCTCCAGGGCCTCAAAAACGTTCGTACAGACGCCATTGTGTGGTCGTGAAGCGACAATGTCAGCCCCAACTCGGAGCATGAACTCGGCCGAAGTCCAGTCGCAAATGAAGCTGTCAGTTATATCGAATGATTTAGCCCGGCGGATGCCGAGCACACTGCGAGCCATGATTGGTTGACGTCACGCCAGATCGGATGCGAAGGGGCCGATACTCCGATGGCCCATTGTTCTGTGTAGCTGTATGACATAATATTGGCCAATCAGACGCAAGCTGTAGACGACAGTGTCCCGACCTGGAAGGTAGTGAATAGGAGCCAGACTTTCAAGCTCTTCTTCCCACCTCACCAACATCGCCAATCGCCCGTTTCCGCCAGTCTGTTGCTTTCCTTCCATCGAATCCGCGCCGCTCCCACCGAATATATCGCAATATCTCAGAGCACAACAGTATCGTTACCTAGTCGCGTCGACGACCGGGTTCCGTCGCGATCTCTCGAGAAACCCTTCGAAGCCGTCGAAGTCGCCTTTGTTCCCCCTAATCGAGTTCCTTCCACAACGCACAATGGCCGACATTGACGATGAGCTTTTGGCTCTTGCCGGAGGTGGAGAGTCCTCAGATGAGGAGGAAGTGATGTCAGAGGCCGAGAGCAGGGCGCCTTCCGCATCACCTCCCCCTAAGGCAGCAGCAAAGAAATCAGTGGCAAAGAAGGTGAAGAAGCGCACAGGAGGGGAGGATTCAGAAGAAGAAGGCGAGGCGTAAGTTTCTTCCACCTTGAGGATCTGGTCTGGTCACATTTGAATGGCTTTTTCACCTGCAGTCAACCACCCTCACCTCCAACCAGCCCTCCACTGCCTGTCAAACCTGGCATCTGCGAGCCATTTTTGCGCAATCTCTTTTGCTATATCATCCTCATCTCGGATTATCTGTTCATCACATCACTAACAATGCGCCTCAGATCATCCGCGATCGGCAGCCCGAACTCGATAGGGTCGGCCGCAATGGACGAGTCCGACTCCGAAGCCGAGCAGCACAGCGGCCGCGCCGGCGCCCACGATGACGACGGAGAGGATAAGTACCCCGTCGACGGAATGTTCAGGAGCGCTGCCGAGAAGGAGCAGGTGATGGCGATGCGCGAGGTTGAGAGGGAGTCACTGCTGGCAGAACGCCAGGCCGAGATTGAGCGCCACCGACAGAACCGCATGCTGCGCCAGCTCGTCGGCGAAAGGGAGAACGAGGAGAAGAAGCAGAAGTTGAAGAAGCGCAGCGCGGACGCCGCTGATCTGGAGGATGGCGCGCGTAAGACATCGCGTCCTCGCACGGATGGTAAGACGTCGGCGATAGATACGCTGCGTCGCGCCCGCGCGGAGAAGAGCGATCGTGCTCGTAGGAGGGAAGAGGATCGCCAGAGGGGCAACCAGTCTCCGCGCGACGACGATTACGGTGGCCGCAACGAGAGCGAAGGCGAGGATGACTACGACGAGCGCAACCGCCGTCGTCGCAAGACGAGGTCGCCCGAGGACGAGATCGTGGCGCGCGAGTTGCCGCCGCCTGACATGCGCGACTTTGAGCGGATTCGTGTGGGCAAGAGTCGGTTTGCGGAGTATTGCTTCAATCCCGGCTTTGAGTCCGCAATGATCGGTTGCTACGTTCGCATTAGTCTGGGGCCCGACCCAAAGACTGGTGCGGACGAGTATCGCATGGCGCGCATCCAAGGTATGCTGGTCGCTTCTGATTGTGAGCACTTTTTCTGACATTTACAGCCATCACTGTGGGCAAATCGTACGCCATGACCGGCCCAGGTGGCTCGTTCGTGACTGACCAATACGTGTTGGCTGCGCATGGCAAGGCGGAGAGACCATTTCCCTTCATCTTCCTGTCCGACAGGCCGTTCACAGAGGTACGTTTGCAATGGCTCGGCAAGGAATTGCACAATCTAATGGTCTTAGCGCGAGTACAACCGTTACGAGAAAGTCATCCAAGCAGATGGTATCAACCTGCCGAAGAAGCAAACACTCCTCGACAAGATTGACGACATCAACCACCTCGTCAACTACCACCTCACAACCACAGAAATCGACGAGCGCATCCAGCGCAAGTCCGCTCTCCGCAAGAAGTTCGACCCGAAGATCCGCGAGCGTCTCGCGCAGGACATCGACATTGCTCGGGCTCAGGGCAACACCAGGAAAGCGGAAGATCTTCAAGAACAGCTCGACGATCTCAAGACCAACGTTCTCGCATTCAAGACCAGCCTCAGCGACAGCCAATCCAAGCCCAGCGCGACCTCCCAGCAGGACCGCCTCGCCAACATCAACCGTCAACGCCGACTGCAGAACGCGGAAAATGTCCGCAAGGCGCAGCTCAAAGAGAAGGCCGAGGCGCGCAAGCTCGAGGCCGCGCTGGAGAGAGGCGAAGACATCAAGAACGACCTGTCGCGGCGTCTACGTACCAAGGCAAAGTTCATCCACGACGTCAAAGACGGCGTCAAGAAGCCTTCCAGCACGAACGGCAGCAACGCAAGTACCCCGACCAACGGCACGCCTCAACTTGGAGCGCAGAAGTCAGGGTCCCTGCTGCCCCATCTGGCCAAGCTGCAGGCCGCGAACCAGGAGAAGAAGGGCATTCCCACCATTCACAAACCTCTTATGGATGACGACATCATCGGAGCTTTGGACCTCGATATCGATGTCGAGATCGACTAGATATAAAATTGGCATTGATTGGCACATCAACACGTTGGGTTATTTCACGTCGGGGCCTCAGCCTATTAGCTATTAAAAGGGATACATCCATAAGTAAACTTATAGCATATCATTAGGCTCCTCCCTCCAGCGCAAGGAATTGTAGAATAGAGACCATACGGTTAAAAGCGGGAATCAATGAATACACATGCTTTCACACCACCGTTACTCAGAATCGATACGATGATGTACGCAATGCGATTACATACGTGACCTCCCGTAGACGGCGCTACTGCACGCCGCAGCGGAGACGGATTTAAGCAACTGGGAAGCCCGACCAGCATGTCCCGTGCCGTTGCGGCCGATTGGATCCCGCGGGGTCGCAAACTGCTGCTGCAAAGTCCGCTCCAGCTTCCTGCAGCTTCAGCTCCTCCCAAGCTTAATTGGCTCCACCCCACTCCCAGCAGCACGTGGGCTTCCCCGTCTTCAATTGCAGTGGCACCGCATTCATCCCGGGGCTTCCAACAGTCCAATCCCCACACCGCGCGGTCTTAAGCTCTGTCAATCGCCATCACCCGACGCAGGCGACTACCGCGAGCGGTACGGGCTCTTCAATTCCACCGACGACAAACGGGCCTAGGCTGCTTTATTCCTCCTGACAATGAATATCCCGATCATGATTTGAAGGTGTCTCCTTGTGTTTCTTGTTATAGATTTAATACACTACATCATACACTTATCTGTCTCCTCATCCCCCTTCAGCGCTCGCCGTTGCGATTGTCGATCCCCCAACGGCTACGGTGCTCCCGACTCGACGATAGAAGCTAGTGAGCTACGATCAGCATACCATATATACACCATCTAGACTCTACAGATACAGCTAAAAGATACACCGCCATGGTTTCAGAAACGAAACCGCTCCTCTCAGAGGGCAACCCATCTGGTACTTCCACCGCCATCTACTTCTCTTCTCGCTCTACAAGGCTAACAATCCGATCTCGTGCGCAGCCCAATTCACCCGCGCCCTGCAACACCCCTCCTCCCCCGCGACGACGCTCCCGCAGGCGATCGCGCACCGCGGCTACAAAGCCCTCTACCCCGAGAACACGCTCCTCGCCTTCCGCGCGGCGCTCGACGCCGGCGCGCACGCCCTCGAGACGGATCTGCACCTGACCAAGGACGGCGTCGTGGTGCTCTCGCACGACGGCACGCTGAAGCGGTGTTTCGGCGTCGATAAGAAGATCAACGAGTGCGAGTGGGAGTATGTGAGCTCGCTCGAGACGATACGCGAGCCGAGGCAGAGGATGCCGCGGTTGAGCGATTTGTTGGAGTTTTTGGCTGAGGGGGGGAAGGAGAGGGAGAGCGTTTGGGTTTTGCTTGATATCAAGGTTGGTTCTTTTGCCGCTGCCTGAAGAGGCGGGGTGGTGGAGGCTGATGCGTGCTGCAGACTGATGACCCTGCGCCGGAGCTGTTGAGTCGCGTTGCGCAGGTCCTGGCATCGACACCGGGCCCTGTGCCGTGGAACAAGAGGATCATATTCGGGTGCTGGAACGTACGTATCTACTCGCTCCATCCATCAAACCCTTGAGACTGACACAATATGCCAGCAACCGTACATCAACCACTGCACCACCTACGTCCCCACCTACCCCGTCGCCCTCATCTCCTGGTCCCCGATCTTCGCCCGCAAGTTCCTCCCACAAGAGTTCCTCTCCTTCAACATGTTTCAAAAGTCCCTCGTCGGGCCCATGGGCAAGGCCTTCATGCGTGTGCTCAAGGCGCACGACCGCCGGCTGTTTGTGTGGACCGTGAATGAAGAGGAGTGGATGGAATGGAGCATCGCGCAGGGCGTGGACGGCGTCATCACGGACGAGCCCGAAGCGTTCCTTGAGGTATGCAGAAGGTGGGAGGGTGAAGAGGGGTCAGCGGCGGCGACGAAGGAGGGAAGCTCGCGGTTGGAGCAGATGAGAAGGGAGAGAAAGGATCAGGGCTTGAAGAGGATGTTGAAGCTGTATGCTGAGATTGCCTTCATTCAGGTTTTGGTCGCGATCTTCACGCCCGTGTTGATGATTGTGGCGAGGTTTGGGGTTGTGGGACCGGGGCCGAAGGCGGCGAAGGCTTTGCGGTTGTGATATTCCGCACGAGCTTGCCGCCCAAGGCTGGGAGAAAATGGTAAGATAGACAAAAGGGACTTGCAACATACACGGCTTGTTACGTTAGTTTCCGCATAGATTGGCTAGAAGACAGCTTACAGGGAGGCTAGGTTGATATACCGTCAGGTTACGAGCACGGGTTCAGGTCAACTGGTCCTCGTCCCCGACTGGCTGTGAAAACCGGAAGCGTGATTCAAATTCTGGCGTTATGTAGACTCGAATTCTGTGCGCCATCTCCTCCAGCTACATTGCATGCTGATCAACGGTCTCTCCCGTCTGCTGCGTATGAGTTTTGGAGGATGTTGGCAATCAGGAGACTAAGACCTATCCGCCCAATCTCATTGCATTTTAAACCCGGCCTAAGGTCTTCTTTCCTTAATTCCTAGGCCCGTCATGTCGAGGTCAAAGTACGTCCATATGCCGCCTTTTGGTGACTTCTTACGTTGCAAACTCGGCCCATCCTACCAACCGCAGCCACGCATCTTCCGTAGGGACTAGGCATTACAAGAAGCGGATGAGGAGTTCTCGTCATTATATTTGATTGTTTTTTTCTTTTCTTTTTTTTTTTTTTTTGGCACCAAAACACAAGGCTTTGAAATCACTGGTTTGGATTCTGAGGTAAAACCTCATTTGAACCCGGTCTTCTGTCTTGGCTATATCCCTCCTCGGACATTATGTTGCTCAATCTCTGGTGCGCACTCTCTTGAATGAAAGAAGTTGAAGTTGGTCAAATGTAGGATGGGACGAGTTGATGTGGGTTTTGTCGGAGATTTTTACTGCATTTTGAGCCCCTCTCGAGGCAGTGGCACGTTGGCCATTTGAAAATGGCACGGCTACAATGAGCGTGTGTGAGCCATACTCGGAAAAGAAGTTTCATTAGGCTGGACGTAATGGCTGTCTCTGGCTAGAATCACATGGAAGACATTGGATACTCGTACGTGGGTTTCCAGGTTCGTCATAACAGCATTATATTAGGTATGTCACGACTAGTGAAGTCGTAAGAACATCATTTATCTGTACACAATCGATTGCTGCTATGCCACAATCGCCAATCTTGCTTCAAGTAACGCAACACGGTTTTCACTCATGATCCCGTCTCCAGTATGACATGGGCCCCAGATTCAGTTGGAAGGCCACACACGACGCCGCCATCTTACACATCGTATCTCATTGGACAGACTGTATGCAAGGTCCCTTTCCCGCATCACGGCCTGGCCCGTCGTTTTCGGGGAGCGTCTTGACGGTCAGCAATGCGCTATTCACTGCATTCTAAACCTGTCAAGATATCTTCGCCTGCCTGTCATAGTGATCTTCGGCTGCAAGTCTCGCCTTTTTTCGACAAGACACTGTCTCATGACGGTTTCCATTGGCCGAATGCTGGCAATAGTTTGTGCAGTCATATGCAAGCACACTCTGCACGGCAATCCGAGCCTTCTTACGGACCTTTTGAAATGAATGGCAGGCCTGGTCCCAACCGACCTAGCCTGGTCATTTGAAGCCGCGGTGCCATTAAAGATCATTATTTTCTCCGCGCCTCAGAAGTCCGTGACAGAGCCTTCTACCCCTAATGTATTCTGTGGTCACGAATTCTCACAAGTGCTCAGCTTTGGTGCCAACTCACAACATTCAAGTCAATTGATCCCAACCCGCTTCATAATTGCAGAGATCACCATCAATGGAATCATGATGTTCTTCGTAGGCATACTTCAGGCAAGGCTGGCGATGTGTTATCGTTCGATCTGCATGCCCAGTCTGACTAGACTGATCGGGTGATGAATGGACCAAAAGAAGCACCACCTGCTAGCAAAAGTAGCAAGCTTCCGTAGCTACCCGAGGTGAGCTGCTGGTCATCTGCATGCATATATTGTCTCAGCTACCAACCTCTCATTCAAATTCAAGCACGGGTCGCATACCCGATCCGAAGGTTCCTTTAAGATAAGACTGCAATGCCGTTTAGCAATGCCACGCAGAAGATAATGAGAGCGTGCTTACCCTGCCTTTTCCTAGACTCGGCTTCCCAGGGTCCGCAATAAGTCATATCTACGGTGGTGTATGCGGTGCCCTTTGTGTTAAGCGTTCCAGGGCTTTCCCTCTTTCAAAACCGTCATTGAGAGGCATCGATTTCCCAGTTCTTCGCCTATTGTGGTCATGCCATCGCCCTTGTGCTAGGCATGTCGCCCTTCCTAAACACAGAACTTACTTCTTATTCGCCACTCAGGCCGAATCCTATCAAAGTCCAAGATAATGGCAGATCCAACAACAAAGATTTCGGAAGTCATGGAGAAGGCAGCTGCGACGGGTAGGCAGCGCAAGAGCCACTACTCGTTCGGAGATGAAAAGGGCCTCACTGCAACCGTCAGCGCATCTGGTAGCCTTTTGCGGATCACTCAACATTTTCCCGGGGAAAGACACGGTTTCTGTATAGATCACCCAGAAATGCTGGAGCCCTATTTGGTACAAAAGCGTCTTGAGAAGCTCCTTTCTTGGAGCAAATCCACGCCTTCTCCCAGTGATGTGATCGGACTATCCATCGATTCATTCTGCTCGGACTATTTCACTGACGACATGATCAATGATCGATGGCCAATCTTTTACAGAACGTGTAACTCGGGAGTCAATCTCACAGTCAAATACGTAGCTTCCGAGGGTACACTCTACCAGATATTCCAGACTAGTTCTGGGACAAAAACCGAAATGCTGCCTCTGGAAATCACCCCTGATCTACTTATTCGGAATCTCGACTTCATTGACGAGGCCAACAGCTTCAATGAAGCCGGGGTATGCAACGAAAAGGTCTATTCCTATGAGATCCGGGGGAACAGTCTGATCCGGGAGCATGAGAATGGCGACAAGAAACCGGTTCTGTGTATACAGGCATTAGACGAGGAGACTTCATTCGGCAAACCTTCACTTGAGTTTGTTCAGCCAGCCCGCGATCAGCCTGCTCAAGATAAACAACCTGTCCAAGATCAATGCTCTGCTCAGAACGAAGAACCTATTCAGGGCCAACAACCTGCTCCAAACCAAGAGCCAGCCCATGATCAACAACCTGCTCAAAACGAAGAATCTACTCATGACCAACAGCCTGTTAATCAAAAGCCTACTCAAAACCAACAGATTGTCCAACATCACCAGCCTACCCAAGATCAACAGTCCGCACGATATGATCGGAAAGTTCACGGGCTACTTGCCAGCGGCCAAAGTAAGCATGGTGCTTCTGGTTCTGTCTACTCGATTCGACGAAAGTCAACGGCACCCAAATCGCAGACTCAGGATGACCCAGACCATCGTTTTCAGGTGATCATCCTTGCATATAGGGTCGATTACGTACCGAAGAATGAAAGCCCTGAAATCACGCCAGCATTGTGGAGCAATGTTTCCGATACTACCAACCGGCTGCTTACGCCCTGTTCACGTCCTCCTTTGGCTAACACCCCTGCCATGGACTTCTTCTTGGGAAGAAATTTGGATCACATCATGTCTGTCCGCAGTGTTCCTGTGCCCAAAGCTCCGGATGATAAAGGACCACCAATCGCTCTCACGTGTGGCGATGTTGACGGCCATCGAGTGACCACAGCGGCTAGCTTGTAAGTCGAAAAGGTCTCCTCCCATAGCATTTCACATATTGACGAAGACCGTGGCAAATAGCTATGCTTTTCAGACCCTTTTACTGGCTCTCGAACATTTCAGATCCCTGCATTCCCTGCAGCCATTAACGGCCTTGAATTGTGAATGTCACTTGGAGTCGCCTGCTCCTTACATTTGTGTAATGAGCAAACGTATCGAGCGCATTTTTTACGGTCACATCAAATGGCTTTTATACAAGGCAGCCATGCCTGGAGAGCCTTTTTGTCCCCATTAATGGGTCGACGGAAAGAAGATCAAAGGTTGGAAAAAGAACAAGTACCTTCCTGGAAGATGTCTTGTTGATACCCCTTTCCAATTGATCAAGGCAGGCGACTTCCAAAGATGTTTTGGAGACCATATGCTCGATAAGGAAGTCATTAGAGACGTCGTGGATAGCTGGATCGAAGAACTCGAAAAAGTTGACCAGCGGGGAGTCTATGCATTTCCCCGATACGACAAAGCGTCAACGCGAAGCTTTTATCTCACAGATCACGTACTGATTTGGCAGGCAGTGAAATCTGCAGAGGCTCTGGGAGCCAGTCCCCGGACATCAAAAGACTACTCCTCAGGATGTATTCAGAAGAACATAATCAAGAGATTCACCACTCGAAACCCCGTCTCTGGAGAGCGCATGATTTCTGTAGGACGGAGTGCTTTCCAAACGAGATTCCTCCTGCGTTCGAAAGATTCTGCGCTTTTCCGCGCCATGGAACTCGGGTTGTTTGATACTTCGAAGACTGAAAAGGGCAGACCGGACCAGAAGAAATCCGATATCTGGCACAACAAGATCGGTGTTTGGAAAAGCACCATCGAATGTCAAAGACACCACAAGAGCAACGACGACATGTTGTGGGAAGACCCTCAAAGATTCGCTCTGTCAATCATTATGGTTAGGTACTTGCAGAAGTCTATCAATCTACGATCAAAGCAGGAGATGTTAGAACAGGCTCTGTCGGTTTTGTTCAGCAGCTTTTCGGCTAATGGGCTTTTCCCTGGAAAGCTAGACAAGCTCCATGAGCCGGTCCTTTACGATAACGAACTCTTGCGGGATACCTACTGGGGAAACACTTTCGAAGTACCTTACCTTCTCTGGAAGTATTGCTCGGATTTGAGCGACAAATCGACATTCTACCAGAAGCCAGAATATGGCCCGCTGAACCGAATATCCAAAGATGAGAGTCCGATAGATTTGTATCTTGGAAACCAGATTTCCAATATTAAAAGGGAAATCCGTGACCAGGAATTGGGACTTAAAGGCTCCGAGATTCTCCTTCAATGCTCAATGAAAGATGCGTTTGCGTTCAACAATTCTGTGAACGTAAAGAACATTGTGGAGCTTCAAGACGAGTGGCTGTATAATATGCCATCATTTTTCGTCCCAGCAAAGTCTCAAAAGGACGATACACAGGAAAAACTCATCGGAGACGCTGGATCTCAGGTTGTTCAAGACCAAAGTGAGGCCAGTTCAATCATTGCTCAAGACAGCAAAGGCTTTACTGGGGCGAAATTGGATTTGCTGAAGCTCAATTCTCCCAAGTCTGTGAAGAATAAGGAGTTTTCCGAGCTTGTGGACAAGGAATTCTTCTCGACAGAAGCTGAGATTGAAAATATTGTAGCCAGAGGAAGAGCCCCCGATCATGCTAAAAAGAGAATATGGTTTTTCAAATCCTTGAAGCCATCTGAGAACATGCCATGTCTCTTGACTGTCTCAGAGAAGGAGGTACAAGAACAGAAGGCAGTCGAACATTTCCTTGATGAGCACAAGTCTTACAATAATTCTTTTTGGGAGGAGACTAGCACGGTTTTCAACACATGGGAGACACAACTTCACTTATCTCTCTACTCAATATGCTCAGGTGGAATAGAGAAGGAGAAAAAGGGCAGCAGCACAGGTGAGGGAAACAACATCATCTTTCCAGGCCTTACGGAATGCGGAAAAATCACGTCCGTTAGAAAAGCTATCGCAAGCTTCCGTTTCGAAGGCGACTTTTTTGATCGATACTGGACGTGTCGCGTCTTGCTCGCCGACCCGTCAAGAGATTAGACGTATGAAGGCCCGACAGGAGACACTCAGAGTGAGAACAACAGCGAAACCGGCAGTGATGATCGCCGGACGGAGAACACCAGCAGGAAAAGTATTTCGCATGTGAGCGATGACGAGATTGAGACTAGCGAGGAAGAGGATGATGAAACCCCGATCATCGAGGAATACGAGGTTAAACTATTGATGCATCGCCGAGCAGTTAGGCAGCGCAGAGTTCTGGAGCTGGTGCTTTTCGACGTGATGATTTCAGACATGAACTTATCAGCGGACGGAATTTTGAAGACCACGAAAGAACTCCTCGAAAAGGGAAAAGACAATATGCGCAGATCATTCGATGCCACGAAGGGAAATCTTCATCCAACCGGGAATGATGAAGTGGAAAGACTGGACTACAACGGCTTCCTCATTGCGAGCCAGCGCTTTCAAGAGTTCCAGAATGGCCTCCGGAAATTCGAGGGAAACCTTGCCCAAAATTTAGGAATAATCGATGTCTGGTTGCAACGAGCCAAAACTCGGGAGGCAGAAAGGCCGCGATGGACCTTCAACGACGAAAGCCGCCATCGAGTTGACATCTTAAAGTGGGTTGCTCGGAATGATCGTCAAATTCGAGACCTCAGAGGCTACCACAAGAAGGTCTTGAACTTGATTGAGTCGACCGCGAAGGATCTCGAACACATGCGCACTTGGTTGGACATCTTGCGAAACGACTTGGACCTCAGACGCTCCGAAGATATCAAGCGCTTCACGTATGTCACGGTAGTGTTCCTGCCGTTGGGATTCGCAACTGGTATTTTCAGTACAAGTGGATCACCCGCGGGGAAAACCTTGGTCAGCATGATTCTCACCGCAATTTCAACCCTGACCATCACCTTGCTGGGATTGGTTGGGTACAAGTTCATTGACTCCCCTCGAGCTAGGAAGGAATTGTCTGATAGATGGGTGGGGTTCAAGGCAAGATTATTGAGATTTGTGGTACTGGCAACGATACTCATGTTGATGGCACGGTTGAAAGACTCTTCATCAAAGGAGTCCAACCAGCAAAAGCATGAGAACATGCGAGAAAAGAGTGAGAAAGATGCACAGGGGGTTGAAGGTGGTACGGCAAAGAGACAGCGAGACAGTACAGCAGAGAGGCAACAAGATAATACGGTAGACGAACAGAGAAACAGTACAACAGAGAGGCAGAGAGGCAGTACAATGGCGGAACAGAGAAGGAGTACGGAAGAGAAAGAGAGAAGCAGTGCGGAGGAGGATGAGGTAGAAGACCCAACAACAGACGAGGTTAAACGGGCTGCCGAGAAATGGAGCTGGGGCGCAATTGTGCGGAGCTTGAGGAGAACTGGCACCGGTAATGTGGAGAGGACATTTCAAGAAGATGTCGAGAGCCGTGGTGCCAGCGATGTAGGTACTGCCGCCGAGGTGAAAAGACGTAGCATAGCATCACAGGACCGAGTCAATCCGGAATAGGAGACAGAGGGCCCAGTACTTGCTAATACCATTCAGTCAATCCATTGAGTTCATTCAACATACCAGAGAAGCAAAGGAAAATATTCGTGGATGTTAGTCTCACACTAGTTGCCGTTTCGTAGCTTGAGTTAAAAGGAGCTAGGAGGGTGGAGGAACAGGAAAGCTCTAGAGACACAGGCAACGGACCCGACTTTCGATGGTTGGAGGGTTCTGTGGCTAATCGCTACGTACCGTCAGAGGATCACCTAGATTTATTGTCGGTGGCTCACAATTTAATGTACTGCATTTTCAACCCAGCCTGAGGCAATCCCCAGGCACGTGCGATTCGATCAATTGTCTCACCCACCAGCGAGCCTGTGGTTTGCGCAACAGGGTTTTCACAAGAGTCCGCCAGTGGTAATGCCGTTCGAATCCGCTATTCGAACTAGAGTGCCCAACTGGCTGGCGTGATCATCTAGACATCGAATCTCAGACACTTCGATCAAGAGTCGAGCAGGTTGGTTGTCAAACAGGCTTTTGGCAGAGCGTACCGCGTCCTCACTCGAGGCTATGGAGTGACGCGTTGAACCCATGGAAGGACGATAGCAACGAAAGACATAATCATGCCACGCACGTACTCAAGCAACGCTAGACGAGGATGCTCAATCTTACAGTCATGAAAACATAGATTCTCATCCGCTATCCTAAGTAGACCCATATCCCACCTATTTGTCCAAAGCCAACCCATCAGAAAATCAACCTCACGCCGCTGACTAAATGTTAACATTCAAAAGGTCGTCATCGCTCTTATGTTTCACCAAACCTTCTCAGATCATAGCCCATAGTTCACATCTAATCCTTCAAATAGTCCGTCATTGTTCCCTGAACATGACGCCAATAGCGCGTTGCGGTACTCTAAGCTGCTGACGCTCATGTTCAGATCGCTCGCCAGATCCTCGCCTGAACTCAAGCTCTCTTCACTAACGCTCAGCACACTCTGCGGCGGGGCAGGGTTGGTTCCGAAATCGCCAATGTTGAAGCTCGCCAGGTCCCAAGAGTCTGGTGACCAGCTGTCCAGGTTCGTGGACGCGGGTGTTGTATCGCTCATCGGCGGCATACCAGCACCACCGCCGTAGATGGCGTCGTACACGTTATTCAGCCCACCATCCATGGAACCCAGCAACGCTTCCCACTCAGTCGTCGATACACCAGCGATCTTTTGCGGGGGTTGTTGCGAGTTATATAGAGTCTGGTGAGCCGCTGCCAACAGATGTTGCTGAAGGCGCGCTGATGTTGGCGATGGCGGGGAAGAACCGTTGGGCGTACTGCTGAGGGAGAGATAGTCAAGATTCTGCTTTCCACTCATTCTGACGCGGTTGGCAATCTGCGACATCGAAAGCCGATGTTGCTCTCGGCGGGCGGCGGAGACGTCATGCTGTTGTTGCTGGGGCAGGTTGTCAAACGATGGTCGCGAGCGAGAGCGGTAGAGTTCCGGACGGTTGTGGATGCTGGGCATCGTCATGCGACGCATTTTCTCTTGTTGCTGGATGAAATCGCTCTCACTAGCGGCCGCGCTGGGGAGACGGCCAAGGGTTTGCTGTGGAGACTTCTTCCTGTTCCCTGCCGCGGGAGGTGAGGATCTTTGCGGTGCAGGCATGGAAGTCTCGGAAATTTGTTGAGATGAAGCGGAGACGGGCTCATCCAACCTCACGAGCATGCCGGCGACGCGCTTCAGGTCGAAAGAACCTGGTGCCTTGGCTTTCGTAAGGATCTTCATGACGCCGTTAACGAGGCGCTCGACATCCTTCATCATCTTGCTATCCTGCTTCAACTCGAAGCTCTGGTAGAGCAGGGTCATGCCGCACAACATAAGTGTGTCCGTCTTGTTGAGGCAGAACGAGAAGGTCATGTTGCGCTCCTCCAGAAGCTGTACGATCTGGACAATGTGCTTGCTTGACTCGCCGATGGAAAGGAGCGCAGGCGCAGCCTTGTGACCGAGCGAGGAACCGACGGCCGGGCGGTAGATAAGAGTGCGCGTGTAGTAGTAAGCGAGGGCAAGAAGAGGCGATCGGCTTCCAGTGACATCGGTTGAAGGCTTGTCCTGGACGAAGTTGAGCTTGAGGTGTGCGGGCAGCGACTCGCACCATTCATCGAGTTCGGCCTCCATGGCGGACATTTGCTGCAGTGACAGCTCATGAGATGTCGCTGCAGGGTAGTTCTTCTCCATAACCTTCGCAAGGATGCGGCAGCAGCGGAACAGAGCGAGCGCGCTGGACAGGCGAGTGTACTCTCCGGGCAAAGTTGGTTGGAAACCCTTCTCAGTGACGTACTCATCGTCCGTGTCTGATGGGTATTCGGCATGGATGTCGTCTTCCTTGAGCAATTTTGGCAGGCCAAGAATAGCACCAGAAAAGCTGCGGTTGTCAGTGGAGGTAACACAGAAAGGATCAAGGACGAGGATGCTCACCAGTCAAGAGTATAGAGGGTCCAGAAGACCTTCTTGCGTGTCTCAATAGTGAGGGCGCCAAATGAGAAGCGCTTCTGGCTCTGATGCAAACCGAGGCGGTGCGACAGACCCACGGCGATGCCCTTGTAGTGCTGCAGGCGCTTGTAATCCGCTCTGACGATACAGTACAAGAGGGCCAGCTCGAGACATTGAAGGGTCACCATGGTGTTCTCCATGAGAACGGCCTCAACAGCACGCTGCCATTGTTGCTCGCAGACAGCGATCTGGTCGTAGTCAGGCTGGTCGCTCCCGAGAGCCGCAATGCCGAAGACAAGGTACAGCTGCGCAATCTTGTGGTTGTTCTTGACCTTTTCCGGGTCTGACACAAACTCCTCGTAAATGTGCAGGAAGGTTGGCTTGTGCAACACGGGGAACAACGGTGCCCATTCCTGGAAGTAGACGTTGACGCAGCGATCCGAGAATAGGCGCGGGGGGACTCTCAGAGCTTGGTCTGGCGACTTTGGCGTCAGAGGATGGCATCCTTGAATGTGGAGGAAAGCCTCGGGGTTGAAATCTGTGCACGATTTCCCATTTTCTTGCATCTTGCGCTTGAAGGCCTCTGTTTTCTCATGTTAGCATTGACGGCACTTTCGCTTGGACGCTTCGGATCGGTGCGGGGGTTACGGACCGATGAAGGCACGGCCACTGGACGGGCCCATGAAGTACGAGTCGGAGTTCTCAACGCCTAAAAGCAACGGCGACGCCTGAACGCGGAAAGTATCCTCCTTCGGCGGTGACGCCGACTTTTCCCTCCCGTCCGTGGCCGACCCGGCCGGCGAATGTGCCGACGCGGCGGCCGCGGACGGACTGCGGTGGCTACTGTGGTTTCCGTGCATTCGCGAAAGCATGTCAATCTTCTCGTCCTTCTCGTCCAACAGATCTTTCAATTCCCTGACTTCAAGCTCGAGCTGGCGCACGCGCTCCTCGAGCGACTCGGTGTAGCCTCTGGGAAACGCGCGACGGCTAAGTTTGTCGCTCGTGCGACACTCGAAGCCGACGTTGGCGCATTGAGAGCATGTTGGCCGGATACCGTCGCAGCGAATTTTCTTGCTTCGACACCGGTCGCAGGCCTGGGCTATGCGGCTCTGGGAGCTGGTGCCCACCTTGATTACCTTCATAGGCAAAATTCCGGGCATGTTGGCGGTTGTCCTCCTCTTTTTCTTTCAAGTTCACTTTGGTTGGGGTCCAAGGGATGCGATGTGTTATGTTTGGTGTCGGTAGCGGTTTACGTGTAGCCCGGAGGCTTCGGCGATTTCCCGTTCTCGATCGGTCGTGGACACGTTCAGATTCGGCGCGAGGCGTGAAGCGGTTCAACCATTCCCATACAATCAGATTTCCAGGTGGGCGTAGAACAAAAGTCGGTCGTCAATTTCGTGGTCGATTTTGCGTTTGCGATAGCAGATAAGACGGTGGTATCTTTTTTAGTCACGGAAAGGGCCACAGGTCAAAAGCAGGTCCGCGAGAACAACCCAGATCTTCCAAGCAAGAAACAAAAAAGAACAAGAGTGGAGAGGGTCACAAGTCTGGTGCTCGGAAGCAACGGACAGAGGCAAGTGGAGGAACTGGAGATGTTGAGGAAAGGAAGGATGTTGGGGTGTGTGAGGGAAAAAGAGGGAGAAGAAGTGGAAGTCGACAGTGGGAGGAACGTGAGACTGTGGAGTCCCTAAAAGAGACCCCGTGGCCGGGAGGTGGACGGGAGAGAGACCGCTGGATGGAGCGACCGGGGTGAGGGCTGGAAACTTAGAAACAGCGACTCATTCCTCATTGGAATGAAAATGGTGAATGCCTGTACCGGGATTGGGAACGGAACGGACTGGGGTGGGAGGGCACTTGGGGGCCACCACCGGACCGGCCTAGCAATTGCCTTGTCCTTGACTGGCGCTGGACTGGGAGAAGAAAGGGCAGGAGCGACCCGCTGAAGGTGAATCTGGGGGAACCAGCCCTGGGGTCCTGCTGGTTGCTGCTGTTGGGAAACTCGGGGTGGGAAGGGACGACACGCTAAGCATGGTGAGGGGAGCCAATCACGTCGAGGTAATTGTACTCGAGAAGGCGCCTAGAACCCACAGTACATCGCCCGGTCTGCCGTCGACCTCCAGGCTGCGTTGCGCTAGTTCGACCTTAGCGAGCATGCACCGGAGGACACCACCGGGGACGTCGCATTCACACTGGACTGGACGTACAGACAGACATACAGAAGCAGCAGGACAGCAGCACATCAGCAGCAGCAGCGGCAGCGAGTATCACCACCACACCACTTCCGCCACGATCCAAATGCCCTTCACTCCACCTCCCAACTGCACGTTGCTGCACCACCTCGCGAGTCACATCGTACCTTGCACCTACTTCTGCTCCTCTTCCCCTCGTCTAACGGACAACCTTAGACACTAGACAACACGCAAGAGATACGCGGGCTCCTTCACACATGGCTTCCAGACAACAACCCCCAAACCTCCCAGCCAACCAGCCTGCTACCCTGGCCCAATCCACGACGCTAAACGCAAAAAACCCATCCAGC